TCTCTCTTCCACAGCTGGCCCCTGATCTGTATTGTACACTTTCCGGCATTTCCGCATCTTCTTCCCTAAGTTTCAACCTTGACTGCACCATACACATCCATTTGTACCATGCCTCTCTCTCTCTCTCTCTCTCTCTCTCTCTCTCTCTCTCCCCCCTACGTCTTAATGTTTGCACACCCCTCAATTGATCAAATCAGTCACTTCTAAGGAACCCTTAGAAAACTTGACTGTACATAATCATCCCTTACAACTCCTCTGCAATCACTGTACAGAGGTTGACACAACCTTACCCAAACTTTGTCGTCAAACATTTTCAGATGGAAGAGAGAAATGAACTGACCTAGCCTCATGGCCACACATGTACGGTCCAACGGCCAAAGCACGGTAACTTAACTTCCGGACTACCCTGAAGCACTTTTACAGTGACAGTAACTTCCAGTAAGGTATACAGCACTGAGCTTCCCATAGTGTAACTCAACTCAGTGACCAAGAGTTCAGACAGTAGCACGAATTCCACAGACTCTGAGGATTTTCCAGTAACTTAACGGTAAACTACTATTTAGTAGTATTTTCTGAAAATGCGCAGTAAAGTAACATCAGCAACAGTAACTCGCACTTCCTGAAGCAGACGTTTGTAACAGTAACTTGCACTTTCTGAAGAAAACATTTGTAACAGTTAGTACTTGTACTTTCTGAAGAAAACGGTTGATATATATATGGTCAATAACAGTCACTGTTATTAACCATTCGTTAACCATTTGCTTCAGAAATTAGTAAATTACAAGTTACTGTTACAAATATTTGCATCAGAAATTACAAGTTACTGTTACAAATATTTGCATCAGAAAGTACAAGTTACTGTTACAAATGTTTGCATCAGAAAGTACAAGTTACTGTTACTGATGTTTGCTTCAGGAAGTGCGAGTTACTGTTGCTGATGTTACTTTACTGCGCATTTCAGAAAGTCGGCAAAACCCGATCTGTGATTTCTTTGGCTGAAGTGCCACTTGGTGTCCTACAGCTGCTGCTAAATTGCTGCTAATTGCAGGGCGATTACGGCATCTTCTATATATGTACATAATACATAGGTTACATTGCTGTCGTCAATTCACCTAATCGCACGGCAACTACTGTGACAATCTGTGTACACTGTACAGGATGTACTATGCATATATACACAATGTATGCGCCGTATATAGACAATGCGTATGGGCATATAGACAAATGTGTGCGCATACAGGCAATGAATAACAACGGTAGCTACTCTGCAGTAACTCTCTCTTGAAAAGGCAAAAAAAAACAAGAAAAAAAAAAGGAAAAAAAGAAAAGGCAGTAGAGGTGCACCCTGCCAGTATATGTGTACTCTTGACATGGTGCAGTAACCAACTGGTGAAAAGGAAGTAGAGGTGCGCCCTGCGTGCGAGAAACAGCATAATTTTGGCATCACTAAAAGCCAATGCAATCCAAACACCGGCTTTCGACAACACCATTCCATGGGAAGTTCATAAACTGCCTGCCTTCTCCCTCCCTCCCTTGTGCATATACAGATAAACTGCCTGCCTTCTCCCTCCTTCCCTTGTGCATATACAGTACATCACCTGAGTGTTCCTCATTTCCCAGGCTCATAGATAAAAGAGTACATCTGACGTAAGGGATTAACCGATGCATCAAAAGAACGGCATCGCAGCTTTATAGGATGACCTTGGACATGTCGTTATATAAATAACCAACTTCTGAACCACGTATTCTTTGATCAAGGTGTTTGCCCATTTCATCCTCATTGGGATGTAAGCAATAGAGACACAATGCTGATTCAGATGAACGACTAAGAAAGAAGGCTGACCTATGACAGCAAAGTAGAAACAACGACCGGTCGAGCAAAGGAGATTCTCTCTCTCTCTCTCTCTCTCTCTCTCTCTCTCTGAGTCGTACCCAGGCTTCTAACCCCTAGTGAGGGATCGTTAAAACCGACATTATTTTTTCGTTTCACGAAATTATTTCTACTTGAAAGTGGAAGGTCTTAAAGGTCTTTGCTGTTTTTTTTTTTTTTTTTTTTTTTTTTTTTTTTTTTTTTTTTTTCGCGACTTTCTTTGTTTCTTGGGAGGGTGATGTCGACAGCATACATCACCCTCCCAAAGCCACAACCGAAGTGATGAAAAACTCAGTAAAACACAGCAAAAATCTTTAAAAAAAAATCATATTTAATATTTCCCCCTATCCACAGACACAAAAAAGGACCGTTTCTCGATTGATTTGTGTCATCCTTGCAAACAGGGGCCTTGCTAATCTTTCTCTCTCTATTGTACTATCATTCCAATCTTAACGGATTCGACTACAAACACTTTCGTTAAACAAGTTGTAACGAAATGGCAGGTCGTCTTTTTCCTGCTTGGACATTCTGTGTGTACACATTTTCGTTACGCCCTATGACAAGGTTTGTTCCTTTTGCTTAATCTCCCTTTGCCAGACGTTTTCCACGTTGTAGACCACCATCGACTCCCGTTTGCCTCTACACACCCTGCTCCCACATGCGCAACCATTTGCAAACTCTCCCATTGTCGGCGTTGTGAAATAAACTCCGTAGTCCTGCCATAGAACGCATCCAACAAAAAATGTTCGGCGGAGAGCAACCCAGTTCAGTGCACAACATAAGTTTCAAATTTCAAATTTGCGTTCCCGTTATCGGGGAGAGGAGAGCGACAGCATCATCATCTGGAAGTCAGCTCCTGCGATAGAAAGGTAGAAAGGTCATACACATGATAGAACCCATCCAACAAAAAAAGTGTTTGGAGGAGAGGAACGCAGCTCAGTGCACAGCAGAAGTTAAGTTTCAAATTCGCTTGCGATTATCGGAGAGAGAAGTGGGCAGCATCTGCACACAACAACTCGCCTTACATGTGTTGCGTCAAAAAAAAAAAAACTTACAATGTAATTGTGCGCATTCACTGGTCAGCCAGCACCACTGACATCTTCTCCCCTGCCACGCTAACTACCGTATTTCCCCGAACACAACACACCCTGAAAATGAATGTATACAAGCCATCTGGTGCAGCCAAAATGAGCGAACTCCGTTGTGCTCGGGAGAAGACAGTAGTATGCTGCACCTTGCCTGGAACTATCCTGATGTCACACGTCTGACTAACAGGCCCAGCCAGCAACCTCCCAGCTTGTTCCTGGACCAACAGCTGTTCCTGGACCAACAACTGGTCCATTGATCCAGCAACAGGCCACTCGGTTCCTGGAACTTTTGGGACGGGTGGCCAGTGCAGTATCCTATCCACCATGCCATGCACCTGGACTGTAGTGCCTTTATGCATTCATTCAGCTGCTCCTGGACCAACAGCTGTTCCTGGACCAACGACTGGTCCTGGACCATTGGTCCAGAAACAGGTCACTCTGTTCGTGGAACTTTTGGGATGGGTGGCCAGTGCAGTATCCTGGCCACTGTGCGATGCACCTGGACTGTAGTACCTTTATGCATTCATTCGTTCATTCATTCCAGCATTACTTACTGACTCAATTTGCTGCTTGCGTGTCTGTCTGAACGCAGCCCCTTATCATCACAGAATCACAAAATCAGCATCATCCAGATTGAGTCCTTCTTTCAGGACAGGAGGACTCGATCTGGCCACTGATTTTGCGATTCTGAGATTATGATGGCCGAGTGTGAGTATGCTTTGAGTGCTCTCCAATGTGAATATGGGGCGCTCGTTAGACACTCCTCGGGTGCGTAAATTCCCCGAGGATATCTTCGTTCCACCTGTCCTCTGGGAAAAAGATCGAAAAAAAAAGTGAAAACATTTCCTCGGGCCATCCTCGGGGATTTTGTGGCCTCCCCCAAGGTACCTCCCGAGGTCCCTTGGAGGTGAAGAATCGGCAAGGGTTCCCGTCGTCGGCAGGAAATTATCGTCGGTTGGTCCGTTGGAGTTCCTATCGGGCGGCGCACGGACATCATCGGTCTTCAACGTTCGGCCTCCAGGAACCGTACCCCGACGGCAACCGTTGGTGGCCTGCCGACCCCCATGCACGTCGTCCACCGCCGTTCTCCCTCGAAGTGCGTGCCGCCAAACGGAAAGCGGCCCAACGGATGAAAAATTCGAATATTTGAGGCCGCCGAAATTTCTATTCCCAGCTACACGACGCGAGGCATGACGGCGGTGTTTGTCGGATTGTCCAGTCTGCCGTTTGCTGCCCTCTTCTCGTCGCCGTTTCCTGCCCTCGTGTCGTCGCCGTTTGCTGGAGCTGCACTGGCATCGTGCAGTTACCGCCCTTCCCCACATGTCATTCATGGCCGACGTCTTCCGACGACTACCGCTGCTGTTCCTGGTGTTGGTCACACTTCTCCGTGCCGTCGTCTTCCATGTGTGCATCCTCGGTAGCCTACCTGGATGCACGCACAAGAGGCGTTCAGCGACGAAGGGCGTCATCATGGAAGGGCGACAGACGAAGAACAGGACTCCAATGGACCGATTCGCAAGCAACAGGCCGCGCAGCGTTTCGACATGCAGTGCAAGGCCGTACGACTTGTCTGCATACACGCACCTGCCACTGCACGAACAACCTCTGCCAAACACGTCAGATGAGGAGGCGAGGAAGCACGGTCACGTACCATGGCACTGGGAAGCGGCTCCAGCCAGGAGTATGTGGGGAACCAGTTGTATGGGAATCGTGCGACGACGTCTCAACAGTCTTCCACCGAAGTACTGAAAGACGGCATGCGCAGAAGCGACAATGCAGCCCGCGTGAACCTTTCGTTCGGGCTGTGTAGCGGGAGCTCATCGGCAGCCACGCATACTGTCCTCGTCAACCCCCATCCCGACGACGACGCGGGGCAAGTGACAGCAGTTGGCCGATCAGCAAAGGCTCCGAGCGGAGAGTGGGTGGCAGCAAAGAAGACAAGGGAGCGTCTGAGAGAGCAGTCGCCGGCGTCATCAGTGCCACGTGCTGCTGCCAGTCGTCCGAACTGGATGCAGCCACCATCGCCGTTGTCGGGGGGTGGAAGCAAGGGGGGCTGCACGGCTGCCTGTGTGCCGACCGACGAAGATTTCTCGAGCGGTCTTGGTGAGTGGGTCGGGAGGAAGGTGTGGGCGGAACATCAGCAGCAAGTGCGCCGAGAACGTGAGGTGTCCATAACGCCGTGGGTGCAGCGACTGCGCGTGCGGAAGGTGATGACAAAGAAGGAGCCGGCGGTAGTGGACGCCGACGATTACGACGACACCGCCGAGGACGACGAACGGCAGGACAAGGAGACGGGCGGCGTTCGGCAGATCTGACAGAAAACCATGGGTGGTCGGTGTAGGATAAGCAAGGGTTCTGCGTCGACAGCGCGACGGGGGAAAAAGGGGGCGGCTGCAAGGAGCGAGGGGGAAGGCGACGTCGAGGGCGAGGCCAAGCAAAACTTTTGGTCATTCGACCACATGGTCGCCCTCATCAGGACGAAGCGGGACCACGATGCGCATCTGCAAGGGATGGGCCAGACATACGCTCGCATTAAGCCGAGGGAATGGAAGTGGGCGGATGTTCAAGAAAGGTTGAAGAAGGTTGGCATGGAGAGGACAACCGAAAAGTGCAGGAAGAAATGGGACAACTTGATGCAATAGTTCAAGAAGGTGCACCTGTTCCAAGGGGAGTCCGGGAAACATGACTTCTTTCAATTGACGGGGAAGGAGAGGTCTGCTCAAGGCTTCAATTTCACCATGGATCGGGCCGTGTATGAGGAGATCAAGGGTTCCACCGTGAAGAGTCGCACCATACACCCGAAGAATGTAGCCGACACAGGCGGTTCCCGTGGTGTGCAGCTGCCGTCCGGGTTTTCAGGCGACCTTCAATCTGTCGGCGATGGGGATGCGGGTGCCGACGGCAACGACGAAGACGAGAGCTCCACGAAAGGGTCTTCACCAGCGACGGGCAACACTGGCGGTTGCGGGAAGAGGAAGAACGTTAGGAAGCAAACTTTCGAATCTCTCACGGAGTGCATGGAGAAGCACGGGACACTAATGGCAACTATGATGGAGAGCGCTAGCAAGAGGCAGTGTTCCATTCAACTTCGACAATGCGAAGCCATGGAAGCGGAGGTGGAGGTGCAGAGACAACAACCAATTGAATCATGAATGGCATTTCGGTGATGGCATTTTCTGGCACATAAAGGTATAAAGGGAATGATAAGGTCGTGCTGCTCGTGCATGGATGCCGCATAAAGGTGTTGAATCGCCGGGAGGGAAAATGCATGCTGTCATAAATGCCTCTTGACGCACAAAGGTGTGGTCTTCAATGCTGTCCTCCTATTGGAGTATGGATGTCCGCAACTTTCACAAGAGGCGGAAGCGAACATTCATGCTTCCAACGTAGCTGACACGTTTTGCAGTACATGTCGTCTACTATATTTGGTCATTAATATTATTTGTTATTCGGCCTTTCACTAAAGACAACAGTGCTATTCGGCCACACACACACACACACACACACACACACACACACAACCTGGAATATTCGGTAAGTGATGTTGCCGGTGGGAGAGAGGGACACCTCGATGAAATAGGGTGGGTGGTGGATGGGGACTTGCGGAGGAGGCGGGGGGGGTGCATGGTTGCTCTGCGAATGCGAGTGTTTTTGGGGTGGGCGCAGAGGGTGTGTGCGGGTACATGCCCTGTTTTCGTGGGGGCATGGTGGCTGGGGTTGTCTTTGCTGGCAGTCGCGCAGGGTGCGTCTAGCATGGGGTGTGGTAAGGTGGTGGACAATGGCACTTGCGCGGGCCACCTTGCGGGGTTCGTTTGTCTTCCGCAATGACGAACGGATGCCAAAGTGGACGACTGCAGATCAGGCGACAATTGGGGTCTGCGATGTGGGTGCATATGCACACTGGTGGACGCTCATGGCCTGCTACACGACAGTCGCGGCAGACGTGTTGCTATCGCCTGCCCATGTATGTTGAAGGAAATGGAGGGGTGGTGCTCACGCGTGTCGTCGTCGCCCATCAACCCGCAATGGGGTTATATAGATAGAGTGCCTCGCCAGGATCGTCCACACTGTGCCGTCGCCTGCACATAGTCGTCTCCACAGTAGCGGGCATAGACCTCCCCCTCGTGTGTCGTCGCCTGCACATAGTCGTCTCCACACGTAAACGGCCTCCACGATAACTCGCCTGCCATCATCGATGTTTGCATCGCGCAACAATGTAGCCGCATCATTCGTCGTCCCTTTGCACACACGCCTGCCATTGCCTGGCCGCCGCTAGCAAACCACCTTCCGCTAATCTATGCGACCTTGCCTGGCCGCCGCTAGCAAACCACCTTCCGCTAATCTATCACCCGCAAGCGTATCTTCCACCATCTACACCTTGAAGTTCGTGCAAGGCCTTGTCCCCCGTCTGTCATCCGCGTCTTCCACGGCGACACCTCTTACGTTTGTGTGTTCTACAACAACAACAGTTTAGTCCGCGCATCTGATGAGACACGTCTTCAACGACGACAACTCAATAATCCAACCGGGACGCCGAAAGGAACCCGTCTCCCGCGCATCGTCGAAGGAAGCCGTTTGTCGTTCGTGTGTTCTACGACGACTCCTCTGATCTCTGCGCATAGTCGAGGCCGCCGTGTACCGCTAGCATCGCGAATCTAGCAATGGCATCCCACGTCCATCACGTTCGTTCAGCAACTCCGCAGATCAGTGCTGTCCACTGCTGGGCTGTGTGAACCGGGCCTTTCAAGCATTGTCACTACCCCGAACACGTCACCTACGCAGGGCACCCCATTGCGTAGTTCACGCCATCGACACTTTTCGATATCGTTGACAGTCGTCTTCACCATGTCGTCACGCGGTGGTAATCGTGGCAAGAAGAGGGACAGTTGCGGAGCGGAGACGCCTATGGCCGTGAAGAAAGGACGACATCAACCGAAGAACAAGAAGGATCTTGCAGAGGGACCTTAGAGGGGAAGTGCCTTGAGGGATGACGAATGGGTGAGGGATGTCGAGGGCACCAATGATGACGAGGACTTCGTGTCCAAAACTGAAGTGAAAGCCGCCAGACAAGCGTCTGTGCGTGCACAAGGGGCGCTGGGAATAAATGATCCGCGAACGCAGACTGCTCCCCAACCCCGCGGCGAGGAGGGGGGTTGCAAGGCTGATGTCGTCATCGATGTTGAGGGTGGTCAAGCGGCGAGGGAGGTCCAAGTGAAGGCAACTCCGCAGACGACGCGCGCTAGGGAGACTGTTGTGAGGACACGTGTGACTGCGCCGCCTGACGGGCATCTGCGTGGGTGCAATCACCCCCAGCCACATCACGTGCCCAAACAGTTCCGGCAGTGGGAGGGGCCGCGAAGGTGGCGGTGCAAGGAAGCGGTCAGGGTACATAGTGACGAGACGCGGTGGACGAGCAGGGTGGTGCCGTGGTGGGATCATTTAGACCGAGGACGGTTGCAGCAGCCGCGGAGAGCCCTGGGGAAGGCGACGTCGACGAGCCTTTGGTGAACAGGCAACGGCGGGGGGCGGCACGAGACGGGATCGAAGCTGCGATGAAGCTGTGGGTGGGCGACATGAGGTTCTGGAACGAGACGGAGGGCAATGGACTCTTCAAGCTCATCCGGGAAGTGCGACTTTATTTGCTGGCCATCGCCAGGGGAGTCGCCACGCCCGAGATCCGTCGAAGTATAGCCCTTCCTCACTCAAGCATCCCGCAACACAAAATCGGCGACGAATCGCAGCTGAAGGCGGCGAACGGTAGGGCCATCAAAGTGCAGGGCATCACCTGGCGCGTCATCCACAGATGGATCGTCAAGTCCGCGAGTCGCTCACGGGGCTACCACTCCGCATACGGGTATGTGCTGAACCACGTGACGACGGACATCGCCCGCATCATGTGGCTTGGAGACGACTGGTGCACGTGTGTTAGCCCCGTTGTCTGCCACATCACACTGGAGATGGACATGAAGCTCCCAGTTTGGTTCGTCGGTGCACACATCGAGGACAAACACGAGGACGGCGACTTGGTATGCTACCAAGAGGCGACCATGCAACACCTGGTGATCCATCGGAGTATAACCCTCCCTCACTCAAGCATCCTGCAACACAAAATCGGCGACGAATCGCAGCTGAAGGCGGCGAAAGATAGGGCCATCAAAGTGCAGAGCATCACCTGGTGCGTCATCCATGGATGGATCTTCACGTCCGCGAGTCGCTCACGGGGCTACCACTCCGCATACGGGTACGTGCTGAACCACCTGGCGACGGACATCGCCCGCGTCATATGGCTTGGAGACGACTGGTGCACGGGTGTCAGCCCCGCCGTCTGCCACATCACACTGGAGATGGACATGAAGCTCCCCGTTTGGTTCGTCGACGCGCACATCGAGGACAGATACGAGGATGGCGAGTTGGCATGCTACCAAGAGGCGACCATGCAGCGCCTGGTGGGCGCCTTCACTAGCGTCGTCAGTCTGGCAGAGGGGATCGACTCGGGCCGCATCTCCTACGACGGGCTAAGGAACATCGCCGATGCTATGAGGCTTCTACTCGTGGCGTCGACGTGGCTGATGAGGATGAGCGGGGATGATCTGCATTCCCATTTCAATGCGTCATTGTTCGTGCAGCTCACGGCGACGCCGACACTAATGGCGGCCATGCATTGGTCGTTCGATGCTTGTCGCCATATCCTTCAGGCAGTTACCGTCGTGACGGAGAGGATGGGGAAACCCGCCATGACATTGGCGGACCCGCCTCTGTACATCCCATACTGGGATGACTGCGGGATCACTTTCAGCCATGAGACAACTCTTCCATCGCCAATGGCCGTGAAATTGGAATGGTTGGGCACTGGCCTGCCAGAGGATGATGATGACAAACAGCCGGCGAGGACAAGGATGCGGCGGGGKAGAGAAGCACAGTCGGCGTCGCGAACAGGATGGGTAACGTCGCGGCGTCGCGGTGTGTTCGCAATTGCATGCGTGGGGTCTTTCTGTGGTCGTGATGCACATAATACCACCTTTGTAATGTGTGCTTTACGTCGGTGTTTGTTGTGCATGTGATTGTGTGAGTATCTGGTATTGCTCGTGTGGACTGCACCTTCACCTACGTGGCTGGTGTAAGGGGTTAGGACAAAAGGCAAGGGAAGATGATTGGTTTTGAGCACTGGATGATCAGTCAAAACATTTTTCAAAGCTTCAAGTATGAAGGCTATGTTACACGAAGTTGTCCAACACAAAAAATGTCCTTCCTGGCCAGATGGATGAGCTATGTTTGAACGCCATCACATGCATTGGGCATCGAATGCCTGTCGTACGACGCACGACCATCACACCATCCACACACACGCCACAACAGATGTTAAATCACAGGCGGTCGCAGCGCTAAATCGCACGGGAAATTTCCGAGAAACACACGCGAACGCAAACAAGAAGGCGCCCATGCATGCTCGGGAAGCACACCGACCCCCCGACACAATGTCACCATGTGTTGCACCATACAACTGAAAAAGAAGCAAAATTTTCGACATTCAACAACATCACATGCGCACAAGTTTCGAAAGAACAAAGCACAACATGTAAGGGCGTCCAAACAACAAACAGACTATCCTGTGCAAGAGAAGTACGCCATATGCCGAATTCAAAATGAAGAAATCTAACAATGCAACAAAGAAAAGTAACCAACCGACGACACATGGCTGCAACGATCATCTACCAAAAAACAGCAGCCCATGACACGCGTGTGGGTCCTGGCATCCCACGGCGCCCACACAAGACTCCATGTCCGCCATAAAGAGGCAACACACTACCCACACGCTGATGCGAAAAACGACACGGGCGATGGCGTGTGATGTGGAGCCCCTCTCTCTCTCTCTCTCTCTCTCTCTCTCTCTCTCTCTCTCTCTTCCCCCCCCCCCCTATCGAGCATGGTCAGAGGTCACCCATCCTCTCGGCCAGTGCATCCCTTAGAATCAGCGCATCTCCCGTCGAGCTCTCCATGCACACCAGCTGCAAGGGATGCTGGATTCCCAAATCTACACGACGGGGCACTCCGTTCGCATCCACCTCCCACAACAGATTGTCATCAAACGGGATGCCGGCGTCGATGAGTAGGTTGTGGAGAATGCACACAACCACAAATTGCTGCGGCAACGTCTCCATGATCGTCTTGTGCGACCGCAGGAACAGCCTCCACATCCCCTTCAGTCTGCCGAAAGCCCTCTCAACTGCCCCCCTCGCGGTCTTCTGCTTGTTGTCGAACCGCATCTCCGACGGGTGACGAGTAGTGCAGCCATAGGGAACAACTATCCATTCGGATGGTGGGTAACCATTGTCGTCCAAGAGGTAGCCATTCGTCTGTACGCCGAATGGCAGCATCATAGGTGGGCCAAAGACTCGACAGGTGGATGATCGTGACGTCGTGGCAGCTTCTAGGATAGCCGACGAAGACGTCCAGCACACGCAAGTTCAGATCGACGACAACCTGCGCAATGATCGAGAAACATCGTTTCCGATCGTAGTAGTCCTCGCTAGGGGCGTTTGCCGGCTTGTCGATGTAGATATGCGTGCAGTAGATGCAACCATGGCAGTTGGGGAACCCCTTGCCAGCGAAAGCACGGACAACAACCGACTTGCACTCCCCGTCGGCCATTATATCTTGTCACAGTAGACCGTCAGCAATGCCGATGACGTCCTGCACCGCCACCAAACCTGATGCTCTGCCGATGCCGAGTTACACGTGCTGCTCTCGTACGTCTCCCCCGATGCCCACCGATACAACGCGTACGCGACGTCTGATCAGGCTGCAGTGGCTCCCTGTTGAATGTCACACGCCGCTGTAGTAACGACGACGGAGCTTCCGCATCTCCCGAAAGACACGTGGCGACATGTGCAGCTTGTCCCAAAAGAAGTCCTCTGTGGCGTCGTCGCATTGCTGCAGATCCTCCCACGCCCCGCCTGTCCTTCTTTTCATCCACCACCTCGGCATTGCTCTGGGAAGAGCTCCGCAACCGAAGGCGCAGAACGCGTGAATGACGACATTGCAGATGGCGCCGCTGTCCAACCCTTCCACCGTTGTGCATTGCGTGACCTTCTTCCTCCTCGCGCGGATCTGCCCTCTCATTCTCCCTGCCGCCTCTCCATCTGACAATGAAAGAGGACCGCGGTAACAGCTGCCCACCGCCGTCCTCTCCACCGTCGACAACTTCCCACCGACGTCAATGTCGCCGCCATCCATCCCTCCCAAATGAGCCGCAATGGCGTCTTCTCCCCCGACGTCTTCCTTGCCTGGCTGCACACAGTACTCATGCCGACGACTGCCGCGATGGCGTCTTCTCCCCCGACGACGGCCACGATGGCGTCTTCTCCCCCGACGACTTGCGATGGCGTCTTCTCCGTTGTCGCTCTGCAGCGATGGCGTCTTCTCCCCCGATGTCTTCCTTGCCTGTACGCACACAACACTCACGCCGACCCCGCCGACGCGCAGTGGAAGGAGGTTCGTTTCCGACGTCCTCCACCAGCTGCCGCAGCCACACGATGACCCGCCCTCACCCCAGCGATGTCATTTGAATGTTGAATTTCAAACCGGGACGGTGTGCCGACTTTTTAATTGTTTTTTTTTTGGGTCATCGTGAAGATTCAAATTTTGCCGCCACTCGAAGCTGGACCATGGCTGTCCTAGGGGACAGCCGCGCATGGACCACCGATCCCACCCCACCTCGCGGTCGACGATAATCTTATTACGTGGAGGGCGACTGGCTGCGGGCCCTCCATAGAGATCCTCCTCGGAAGGCCTTCCCGAGGATAAGTGGAACGACGGCGGGAAAACTCTCGGACGGCCCGAAGGAAAACTACTCGGGCCCCGAGGACAGACCAAGGAGTGTCTAACGAGACCCTATGCCCTTCACAGGTCCCCACTCTCCGTCACCCGCACACTCGATCTCACCCACGTTCTCCATCGCTATGGAAAAGTTAACATACAACCATCTTGGAAAAGACGTGGTAGCTCAGCAGAGTTAGAGCTCTGGCGTGGCAACGGGGAGGTTGCGGGTTCGATTCTGTCGGCCCTCAACCTCCCCCACACACGATTAGTTGGCGCTAGGTTGGCAGGACCACCTTCATTGCGCACAATTTGCAGCTGTAAGAAAATCAGTTCATTCCAAGGAAAAAGAAGAATGCAAGAGTTTGTTGCCTTTCTGGTAAGCTATGCTACATGCACATATTACCTACCTATTGTAGGTATTTTGAATCTCCTTCTTAGCATTATTATGCTAAAAAAAAAAAAAAAAAGCATTATGCTATCATATGTGAGCAATGGGATTCGATCATTCGACATTTATTGGGCGATTTAGGGCACAGGTTGGGGCCTCTGAGGCGAAGCCGGGTAATCGCATCGGTCGCATGGTCATGAGCATATGTTTATGGGACGCTGGACACGGTTTCCAGCAGGTGAAGCTCCCCACCAGTAGAACGGACCAATGAGCGGAGGGATGCTAGAGAGGGTTGCTCATACCACCCCCTTTAGCAGGCCCACGTGGTAAAAAAGAAAAAAAAAAGAAAGGAAAAAATAAAATAAAAAAAGCTTAGATAATAGATTTATCAAAAGCGCATACACGACCATTAGTTTCAGAATTATTCCGAAGATGGCACACTAGAATTGTTTTGTTCAGATGGACCATGGCATCCACTCATTTACAAAATATTTTTTAATTTTAGAAAAAAAAAATTGCCCAGTCCGTCATTAGAGTCATTACTAAAAATAAACAAAAAAAAAAGTTGAACCAGGCCCTGTTCCCGGCTTTTATAAAAAAAAAAAAAAAAGTTGTTCAGTTAAAAAAAATAAATAAACAAAAACGATCAGGGCTAACATTTAGTATAATAATACAACAAAAAAATAATGCCCGCTAAAGATTTTCTAATTTACTAGCCTTGTTACTATGAACCAGTACTAGGGTTAGATAGGGGGCATACGCACTAGGGACTAGTAATACTAATTTATAGATGCAATTGCGGACAGATACATCCTTGGGCGGCCGTAAATCTGGTCAGATACATTTAGGATACAGCTAGTGTGAGTATGCCGCCCTAACAGTGGTAAATGACTCGTAATCTAGGGTACCAGCCCGGCCACCCGGACGGCTCGGCCGTGCAAGGCCCAGGGAAGGTCTTAGCAAGAAAAAAAAAAAAAAAAAAAAAAAAAAAAACTATGTTATGCAGAAAAATAAACTGAACAAAATTTTTTATTTTTTTTAATTATAAAAAAGCTATATTCTTCTCTAAATTTCACCTCAAACTACCTACCTACAACTACTCCTAATTGTAGGCATACGGGGAACCCCGTAGCAGCCAGAACCGTGTTCACGAGAGAACGTGAGGGGGCTGCTCCCTACCTGCAGGTGGGCGATACCGGCTAGGGGACAGCCGGTAGCATCAGGGACCATGCCAACAGGACCAATCCCTGTGCCTCCCCTCAGGTTCCCTCCCCTACGAACATCAGCAGACTCTGCTCAATGCCGATCGGAGGATCCAGTGGTCTATCTCTAGGTGGCGGGCGCCAGACATGCCCAGGAAGGTACATGAGGCCAATGGGGACTGAACCCACGACCTCCTGAATGCCACTTGCGACCCTTACCAACTGAGTTAGGCCGTCACATCGAAACTCGTTACCAAATTTAAAGCAAAAAATAAAGTTAAAAAATATTTTTTATTTATATTTATTTTTGGTCCGGCCGAGCAACTCGGCCCGGGCCACTCTGGTAGCCTAGCTCGTAATCATAATAAGCGCGTCCAACAAGCTCGTACAACATCATTCATAGCCACGCTGAGTTTCACCATTAGTATAGTTCGTACTCTCTGGTACGAAATATCCAGAGGCCTTTCACCTGTGGATAATTCTTTGAAATACCAGGGGCCGGTCACTTGTGGATATATCGCAAGCCTACAGGGCCTTTGAAAATAAAACATCAAAAAGAGAAGAAAAACAAGTTGCTGCACCATTCCCTCTGATGCAAATAGATGGCCTACGTCATGGTCTGTGGGACGAAGTTGAGTCTCTGTGGGACGGAGTTCCTTACCAACGTCAGCTCTTCCATGGCCTCTACTGCTTTGCATGTGAAGAATGCAACCTGAAACACAGCAAGACAGAAGATTCGAGTGATTAGGAGGAAAGACACATGATAGACCCAACCAACACGAAGAAAACAATGCCAAAGAAAAGCCCCGTACCCACCTCGCAGGTACAAATCGGGATTGTGCACAGTAGCGGCTGTTGATGAACAGATCACACATTCAAATTCTGGTGCACGCAATAGCGCTAGTGGTTACCCCCTCTTCGGAGGAAAAACAACGAAAACACAGCCCGACTCTTGCACATACGTAACGTGCATGCAATTGCAATAACGTTCGTGAAGTTCCTTTTCACGTCCTTTTTCATTCTTTTTTTTCTTTTCACGCATGCACCTGAAAAAAATGTTCCTAAGAAGACAGAATCCATGTGAAGGGGCGCTGAGCTCGTTTGAGTTGGACACATTTTTTTGAGAACTCATACTCATTGCTTCGCTCCTTTGTTTTTTAGTAGATTTAGATTTCTGATTTCGCTTTCTACAGTGTAGAACATATATAGTATGAGAGCGACCGTTCAAGGAGGCTGGCTACGTCGATATATATGCACGCCAATGGAGCAATATGAGTATGTGGGCGACCGTTAGGTTGCCTGAAGCGAATTATTGAAGGATCTGAAGAAGAAGGGAGGAAGGGCCACTTTTTTCTCTCAGCCCGCCATTAACAATGACCGTGTGCACATTCTATATACACCGTCAGACGGAACAGATATTACACTTACGTGCTCAACCAACTGAGGACATAAGTGGTACACAGGAGGAGGTCGTGGGTTCAATTCCGCACGGCATAGATTCGATTCCCCACGGCATCCATTCGATTCCGCACGACCCGCGGTGTGGCATACTTCGGGTTCACCGACTGAGAAAGAAAGGCGTGCCCCTCCTAGCTGGTTGTGGAAGTTGAGTCTGTCTTTCCAGCCCGCCCGCACCAGGTATTAGGAGGGAGCTTGGGTGCTGCTCCCAGCAGAGAGCAGAGTTAGGTAGGCGTAGACCCATAACCTTAGGATAGCTTAGTCCTGGTTAGCATACTTAAGATTGGTGGTCCTCTGTACCTCAGATAAGGTGTTCAAGCGGCACTCAGGAGGTCGTGGGTTCAACTCCCATTATTGCCCTCACAATAGTGCCTGTGGCATGCTTTGCGTCTTACCTTTCGAGACGGCCAGTTGGTAAAGCAAGCGCGTGGTAGCTCAGTGGACAGAGCTCCGGTGTTGCAACGTGGAGGTTGCGGGTTCAACTTTGTCAGCCCGCAATTTCCCCCGAGCACAATTGGGTGGTGTAGATTGCACCCCATGTACTTGCCCCCGAGCCTGGCATAGTGCCTTTACAGACTAGTGACCTCAATAGCTCAGTGGGTAGAGCTCTGATATATTGTAACTTGAGGTCCCGGGTTCAACTCCAAAAAACACACAACTCACAGCTGATAACGGACTGGGCAGGGTGCAGGGGGGGAGTGGGCAGGAGGTTTTCCCTGGCAGGAGTCGGCCCTCTGGCGAACTGGTGCGACGGTTATGGACCGATAACCCTCCCCGCTCGATATGACACTAGCAGGGGTGGAAAATGGCCCCCCTCCCCCCCCCACCCCGCCAAACGCAAACTATAACTGATAGGCAACTGGGGTGCAAGGGGGGATGGGCCGGAGGTTTTCCCTCACAGGAATCGGCCCTGTGGCGAAATGGTGCGACAGTTACGGACCCGTAACCTTGACCCCTCAATATGAACTGGATAACTAAATATCCATGACGACAACACAAAACCCCTAATACAAGGCAGCAATAGGCTGTGCTAGGAACATGTTGCCTGGGTTGGGTCAGGAGGCTGCCTTAGTAAGACCTTGGTCAAGGGCAGGACCAGTAGACACTGCTACCTGGGGTAGATCCGTGGAACGTTTGCTGTCTGACCAACCCAGGGCTGGCGCTCACAAGGAAAGTGCATAGGACTATCATGCTTGGAGACCGAAGTGGTGCCCGTACGACAAGGCTCGGCCGATAGTGTGCTTCAACTAGGGCTGGGAGGGGTTGTCCTGGCCTAGAGCCGGTGCCTGCAACTGCGGCTGTCTGGTATACCCGAGGTAAGCTTCAACAGTGCCCCCCGTAGATGGAGAAGCCGGGGTTACACTAAGGAAGAAGAACATTGAGGTAGGAATGGGGTGGGTCCAGTGAGCACCAAAAAAAATAAAAATAAAAATACAAATAAAATAGTGGTTTTCTGTCCTATAAAGAGTAGTCCTTCGCTGCTAGACTTATGGGGTAGTGTAGTTGGCCTCCCCTTCCGTAGTCTATGACGCTGAAGGCCTAAAGGCCCTAAACCCAAGTACATAGCTCAGGGTAGGTAGTGTGAGATAAAAAAAAGACTACTGAGAGAAGAAAATAGAGTAGTAAAAATGCAGCTGTGCTCCATATGAGGAGAAGGCAGCTTGCATTCTTAACAAAAAATAAATAAATAAAATGTTACAGTTTATCTAAGCCAAAAGGCCGAGAACGGTATTCTTCGAATGAATTTCAACATGCAAGGTAGAGGATTTCTAAATGCAAGGCTGCGGATTTCCTTATGAGAGGCGTCTGAGCTGATGTGAGTTCCTCCACTAACAAGCAAAGAACACACCTCAGCTGAAAGAGCGGCAAGGTCTCACATACCGCCTATACTTCACCACGTGGACTCACAGCCAATCAAAGCCCCTTTTACTTGGAAAAGGAGGTGGTGCCCTTTTGTGTCAACTGTTACATGTGTGCACCAGTCAGCCACATTTGACGGGGTGCTCTCATCTAGATCGTAACTAGTTCTGCTCTTCGGTGGGAACAAAAAGAGGGAGATAGCATACACAAACAGTCTGCGTTTGCACAGGTGCAAGGCTGACCAATCACATTGTGCTGGGCATGACAGCGTCAAATGTGGGACAGAAAAATGTAAAAACGGGAAGGAAAAAGAAAGGACTCACGTGATAGATCCGCCAATCGGTCGACTTGATCTGTACAGGCACATCAATCAAGTTTGCGTCGCCGCATCTGCAAGCATCGATTCATGTATCAAGTTACTATTAACCAGCCAACGAATGTAGCCCACCAATTTCTCTCTCTCTCTCTCTCTCTCTCTCTCTCTCTCTCTCTCTCTCTCTCTCTGTG